ACTCCTGGAAGCCTCCATTGTAATCTGAGCTCTGAGATATTTGTCTCTTAACATCAAATTTAACCTGCCATTGTCATGTCCACGTGTTCTTACTGGTGCTTTCCCATCCCTGATTAATCTGCAGCTGGTACAGCATATACCCGAGGCAAGTCTGAACTATCAAAAGGTTCCTCCAGGCTCAACTAGTCCAATAGACCAGGACTCAAATATGAACGACCATGACAGTTCCAGACGGCGTCCCTGGAACCGTGAAGAGGTCAAATTTGGTCAAATCCTTTGCTCATTACACTAATAAACTGATCCATTAGTTATTTACTCAGGGTGTAATTGCCTGCATAGCCAATGGCAGTGCCTCTCAGAAACTGAATAGAAAAAAATGCAATTACATAATTTCTCATTTTAATCTTTGATTTTTTCTTTAAATCACAGGTAATTTTGGACAATCTTATGTTAAATCCAGTCTCCCAGCTCTCCCAGGCTATCAGAGAGAACACGGAGCAACTAGCAGAGAAAATGAAGTATGAAGAAAAACTTTCATATTTAAAAACAAACTTTGGGTGGGACATCTTGAAGGGATTGTGCTTTCTTTTTCTTCTTCTTTTTTTAAAGGTCATTAGGCAGTAGTTACATCATGATATACATCATACATCAGATGTGAAATCTATGAATCGCAGATGATCTTGAACTTGCGCGCAAATGAATGGTTTCAGCTCTCTGCCTTGTAAACGACTCCTAATTAATGTCATTAACATGTAAAAGATTGCAGTCATCATCCAAATTCTTTCATTTAGAACAGCGAGCTGTAAGAACAGCTTACATTTCCAAAAACCTGCAGTACTCCGAGAAGAAAAAGTGCGTACGTCTACTCAGACACTGACGTGATGCTAAGCACTTTTCCACGTCAAAGACAGTTTTACAAATATGAGCGTTGGCATGGATTTAAGTGTACGCACACTCTAAGATAAAATCTGAGCTTACGCACGCTTTATAAATGAGGCCCCAGGTGTCTGTTTTTTGTCTCTAGTAGTCACAAATATTATGTCTCTTTTAGAGCTCTGTTTCATAACAAGACAGAGGTCTGGGAGGAAATAGAGGCAAAAATCAATGCTGAAAATGAGGTTCCCATCCTTAAGACATCTAATAAGGTACATCCATTTCAATGTAATTTCCAAAGACCAAACATTCATTTCAGAGATGTTTCTTTATTTTTGTAACATATTTTCCTCACTTCGCAAGCAGGAAATCTCATCTATTCTCCAAGAACTGCGAAGAGTCCAGAGACAACTTGAAGGTGAGTTTATTAGCATTAGATTTTTACCTTTGACCATGTATACTATACATTCTGGTCCTTCCCTACAGTATATCCATTGGTGTTTTATCTTTGTCATACCACAGTGATCAACACTATTGTTGAACCTGGAGGAATCTTCAAGATTCACCCAATGGGAACTTCTCCCGGGGGAAAGACCAAATCTGCTTCCAAGGAGTTTAGCAGTCCCACTTCTGCTAATGGCAATGCAAGTGCAAAGCGAGGTCCCAGGGGGCCCGAGGGAGGTCGATATGTAGTATAAGCTTGCCTTCAACAAGGGCGTAGCCATTAGCTTGCTTTGCAAAAAACAAAACAAAAACAAAACACAATCATGTCAATCATGTACTGCACATCTCTTTGGAAACTGCCATATTCGTGGCACATTTGTAAAAGTATTGTGATACTATTAGTGGTGCAAATATGCGGCATATGCTTTCTCAAAGACTGCGGACACACTTCACAAGCTAAAGCAGGTGTAAACATTGTTCTTTTCAACAGTTATAGTCTGTGGCTTGTTTGAATGATTATGAATTGTCAATTTGATCATTGTCAATAATGCAGTGCAATTGGCTGCTACAAATCTTCAGCATTAAAAAAATTGGGTGAATACACAATACTAAATAAGTGCTTGCCTTCAACAGGGGCATAGCCATTAGCTTGCTTTGCAGAAAATGAGCTGTTTTAAATATAATGCTATCAAAGATAAGAATCAAATATTGGTGTTTGAATATGGCTACTGTTGAATTCCCAGACACAGCAAGTTAAAATGTTGTTAAAAAGTAAGCAACTTTTGGCATAGATTGTTTCTTTTTGTATTTTTGTTTTGCAACTACACCACATATGTCTGGGGTGTCGGGTGTTTGTTTACGCGTGTAAGCGAGTGCTAGATTATGTAGAATCATGTGTGATGCTGTGAAGTATTGTTGCTGTGTTACAGATGAAAACTTGAAAAACGGGTTACCTTCACCCTGCCCCTATATATTATGCTTTTATGATTGTATGCAACAAAATGATTGTTTTTAATTTAGGATGACATAAAACTATTGGAGGAATCAAAAAGCAGCTGGATGTAACAGGCTATTCCCCTCTTGTTTGCATTAGCCATGTATTCTTTAAATGCCATATACTCTATGTATTTGTGATTTTGAATGTTTTAAAAGCATCAAAACAATGTTAAGATAACTTTTAAACGAGAATGAAATCCAAAACAATATCACACAAATATTTAATTTAGAAAATTGCACATATATTAGCAGGGTAAGACAAGGTAAGATACCCCTTGAGGCAAGATGATTTTTCTCTTGGCCATAGATGCCACAAAATGTCATCTCAACACAATTGATAAATGGCTATGCTCTTCTTAAAATTAGACTACCTAAAATTATATCTTTGGAATAAGACGCCCCTCCCACAATTGGCCTCAAGCAGCGTGTTGTTTTTAATTTAATACATGGATACATTTAATTTAATAAACAATGTTTATTAATTCCATGAATTCAATGTACACTTCAGAGATCTTCACTTTTCATTAAAAGCTTTAGGCTGAGTGAAATCATTCAGTTTGAATTGATAGTGTTGCTGTAATGACATATCTTCAATTAAAATATGGGCAACAAAATATGTAAATATTCATATGCTGTATAATGTAGTAAATGCACATTGTTCTTAAGGGTGGCATCTTACCCATCTCACCCTAACTATTTTAGCTTGAGACTGGCCAGTATAGAATTATTGTGACATCCAGTACCTTCTGATGACAACAATGTGAATGTGCAGTGAACCATACAAACTACATACAAGAACACCGTTCTGTCTACCAGGGTCACATCAACACATTAAATTATTTAGTAAATGACATGATAGGATTGTACTTGTTTTGTGTCTGTAATTGTGATCTTCCATTACAGCATTTTTTTTACCATTTAATGTTAAAAGTCTTTGCAATCCTGGTGTTGAGGTAATGTTTCTAAATATCTGCACTAAGAAGTGATTGTATACAGCACTAGTTTTATGATTTCGCAGCTCACCATCAAACAGTTTGCTTTAGTTTTGGCTGTGTTTTATAGATGGTTTGATGTACAGTATGTATCAAATGCAAATGAGATAATTATTTTGGAATTATTGCATGTCTGCCATATGTAATGTAGGTGAGCCAAAGCTAGGACTTGTGTACAGCTGTGTGTGTGTTCGCTTATAGAGCAGTACTGCAGCAAGTTGATGAACAACTAACATTTATAAAGCCTAGTAATTGCACACAAGGTGCAATTGTATGTTTTGTGCTGGAGTACTTATGCTCTCCTTATGTATTTTTAAATTTACTCTTTGTCACCCACAATACAAGGCCTGTAAATACATTGCCAGCGTTGAATGTTTCATTTATATTCAGTGTTTTATTCATGTTCTTGGATATTAATCTGAAAACACAAATTTAAGGATCATTACTTGGGCATTTTGTTAAATTATTCTCAATGGCTTTGCCCTGTGGCAACTGCAATTATCTTGTGATGACAGGTTCCACAAGTGTTCCACACTTTTCATCTAATTTGTAATACATTTATTTTAAGCTATATTAATAGCTGGTGCTATTACTGTAATAGTACTGTAAAACCTCTTTTACACAAGTACTTTAGTGCAGGAAATATATTTGAGATGAAAATATGTACACCATATCGCTTTGCAATTTTGAAGATTTGCAGTTAAGTACAGTAGAGCGTGCGATGGGGGAGAATTAAACACACAGGTCCAACAATGCATTATTTTCATTGATCCAAATAGTGGATAGTGAATCCATTATTTTCAAGTCCACAACCTTTCTTGTTAACACTTTTGTAAGTCTGTTGTTGACAGCATACAATTGATTTTTTAAAAGCTATAATCTGTAATTGTAGCAATCCCAAATGAAGACCAGGGGCCTCATTTATTAAATGTAATAAACAGTATAAACTTTGCTTAAGTGACTATTTTGAACAAGTATTAACTTAAGTTATAAAAAAAAAAAAACAGCTAATGTATTTGTATGAAAAATGCCACCTCATACATTTCTACGATGTTTAAATAAAACAAACTACTTTTATGATTTATTTTCACACAAAATCTGTTGCTCTATCACATTCCTTTATTATTAATTCTTTTTTTTTTCTGCAGTCATACACTATTGGAGTAGTGAAAAGCACATTTTTCTCAAGGTGTGCCTGTTGTACCCTAAGCACATTTCAGAAATAATCTTTTCTGAAACATTTCATAACTGAGGCCCCTGGAGACTACTGTGGAGAACCTGTTCCACAGTTAATGGCTAGGATTATGTAAAAAAAAATTCTTTAATACTTCAAATGTAAGTATTAAAAATAATAGAATGGATTTTAATCAAATAGTTTCAAACTAACGTTCTTCTTAAATATATCTCTTTACCAGATCCCATCAGAAGACATCTAAATAGATGCAAAGATGTCTGGTATGCAAATGTCATTCAAGTCTTGTCTGATACCCAAAATCAGTTAATAAAACTGTATTAACGGTTCTGTATTAAACTGTATTCTAACAAGAGGATGACAGATACATAAAAGGAGTCATAAATATTGCTGGATTGACTATATATAAGATTTGCATTAAGATAAAACAACTCTTTGATTTTGAGGCCTAAAGACCACAGTCAATTACATGGGACATAAAAAAATATGTGCAAGTCTGCAAGTTGAATTTTCTTTGGTTTTATTATGGAGTGAATTTTCACTTTCACAAGTATTTATTGATGCATTTGTAATAAGTCAGACAGATATGGAAATTTATAGAATCTTAATAAATATCAGACACACACAGTCATCAATGAGAGATCTGTTATCACGGGCTGCTAAACCAACAGTGTTTCAGATGCTAAAACATGTAGGGTTAATATTTGTCTTGTAACTGTGACATTCCCCAAAACCTGATGTTAAATCTGATTTGTTGTGAAGATCACAACAAATCTTAAAATAAGCTTAAGTAACATCACTGGTGTAAGCTTAAAAAAAAAATCATTAAAATCTTCATCTTTTTAAACATTTGGATCTGGTCTCCGGACAAAAGGCATCTATGCCTATATTCATTAATCAAAGACTAGGTTTAGGTACAAAGGGGGGAAAAAATTTGTTACATGCATGACATTTACTAAAAAACTTTAAAATGTCTTTCAGTTAAAAGTAAAATAAAACAAATGTTTTCAAATGGTCTCTTACATTTAGAGTCTAGACGAATTATGCTTCTCTGCTAGGGCTTGTTTTGTAGTATAGACTAGACTTTATCTCTTGCTAAAGAAATCCTTAGCTCAAATATGACATTAATTGAAATACCTTACCCAAAATGTAAATATTTATAAACAAGAATGTCATTTATGTAAAATGACTACCAAATACATATCTACTATATCAAATGTAAATGGTATAACAGAAAGAATGAATGTACAACAAAAACTGTACAACAATATTTACACTTTCTCCCTGACATTTAGACCATTAAAATCCACAGGTTTCTCAATATCAGCAGGCCACATGAACATACAGTGTCCAAAATACCATAAATAGCATAGAAAATGTAAAGAATATTAGTTTTGAGGTTTAAATTTGCCAGATGACTTACTTGGCTACAGCATGATATATGCTGACCATACTGAACACATTTGTCTTCAGTGGTGAAGACATAAAAGATGAGAGAAATTAAAGAAGCAAGTATTTCATTTCAGCCAACAATTTTCTACAACTTTTGAAACGTACAATAGATGTACCATAAAACAAGTGATTTTTATCTTATGTTTTGGAATTTTTCTCTGAGATTCTTGACAACACTGTGTTGACTAGAATCAGCCTTTTTCCCAGAATCCAGTGCATTTTTAACAGCATTGTCTAAGTGTTCACTATAGGATGAAGCTTTCTCAGTTTTTTTGCACCTGTCAATCTTAGGTAACTGTTCTGGCTTAGATCCTCCATCTTCCCTCAAACGGTATTCCTCTGACTCCTGATATGCCCGACAGCGGTCAATGACAGCCATGATTGAGATCTTCTCACGAGATGTCGGCGAACGAATTTGGACGTAGCTGTCATCTGTTGTTATTTCCTGTTTCTTGCTCTGTTGGGTTGTCTGGTCCATCTCTACTGGTGGT